AAACAATTTGAAAACGATAGATGTTATTATCAATTTAAAAGTTACCAGTAATTGCAAAGGCGAAAATATGATTGATATTGCAACGAGAATGCGCGAGGCAATATCCGCAATAAATCCTATCACAATGCAATCTAACATTTTGAACTGCAGGATGCACGAACCTGGATATCCATCATCGGGCGAGTCACTATATTTTGCGATGGTTCGTTGATTAAAAACGATGGAAAGATAATGCACGATAGAGACGCGCAAGCCAGTGTCAACACACGAGACGGATATCAATCGCGGAATGGACCGTCTGGGGCGGAAGGCAAATCAAGGCGTTTATTGACGCTGTAAATAACCGCGATCACAATTGCGACCAGAGTGCATCCCCTTAATTACCGCGTAATTACTACAGGAAAGTTTTACCTCAGAAATTATGTTTGATTTGTAACTTTGTTCAAAGAACGAAATTCGCATGCGTGGTTAAATACCATGTGGTGTTGCTCGCACGCCGAATGGGAAATTTCTGCTGGCGATAACTTCGTAATACACGTCAGTACGAAACGAACGATTACGTCCGATCGAATAAAGTCGAATGTGTGCTGTAAATTGACAGCCGTCGTGCATTGGAGCACAATTAAAGTCATACCGATATCGAACAGATTGTGAAAGAATCGTGTGAATCGAAGAATTTCATGCCGTCTGCCCGATAAAACTGGGATTCACGAAAGACAAATAATAGAATCGCGTGTTGCTTTGAAGGTATTTTCGAAATTTTTTTTTCACTTTACACGACAAAATATTGCATTAACAGTTAATGCAAATTTGAGCAGTTTGCGGCCGATCACTCTCGTTATTTGTTTAGTTCGATTCATAAAATATAATATTAAGATTTCGTCAAAATTGTTGTATTGCACTGTTTTATGACGAAGAACGAAGAAAAACTTTACGGACGGAAATCTTACGGCCGTAATTTTCGCATAATAAAGAGGACAATCGCAGCTGACTAAGTTAGAAGTGCGAGAAAATGCAGAAGACCGAAACATGCCCGCGGGACTGAATCGGTTTTGAACTATCTGAACTCCAGTTTCGCGAGAATCCCGATAATCTGAAACTTTCATGCGTGTGCTCGCCGTTCATCGAACTTGACGATATATACGGGAACGTTTATTTTATTAGAGAAAGTATATAGTACTTAAAGATAATCATTATTAGGGAAAAAGTTTGATAAATTAGACATGTACATTTCTTTGCCGATTTGGTGAAAATAATTCTATCGCAATAAGTTAATTAGAGGAAAGTTATACCTATTATGAGATAGACTTCTAATAAGAGACAGCAGGTTTTCAACATTCAAATTCAATCACAAATCGTTTTCGCAACGATTACACGATTTAACAATCAATTTTCCACTAAACAAAGTTTACCTCGAGGACAATAATTTCATGTTGGGCCCAATAGATGATGCCTATTAATTTAGCAGGAAGCACCCACTGCCTCATATTAAGATCCTATCTCATAAAAGAAGACTTTTCTCTATATATGTATATAAATCTATACGATATAATATTTTAAAGTTACCATTAAAATTTCCAGGTCCTTTATGATGTTCATGAGACTTGAATATAATGTCAGAATGTATTTGCTTTTCATGTTAAACAGCTCGACGTGATAATTAGGTGGCGGATTAAATTTTGATACAATCCAAATACGACCTATGGGTCGCGTAAACGTGTACGAGACAAGTCCCCTTTCCCATAACGGAAATCAGTGAGAAACAGAGAAAAGCAGATAACGATAGCCCGCGTTACTCTGCTTGAAAGAGCAATCGCGGAGGAGAACGTTACTGAAAACGGGACTGACGTCTATTGTTTTCTCTGACGGTATATCTGTTGATTGTTCCTCGAGATGTGCATGTGACGTCGAGATTCTAGTGGTTGCTAGATTTGTATGCAGGCGCACAGAGCAGAGAAGAACCGCGTTGCCGCGTCGTATGTTTGATTAAAAATAAATTTGCGGGAAAACTCGGGGATTTTCAGGCTTGATCGATAAATCTGCATATGTCGATGCTCTCGTCTTATATTCCAAGGGTGTCAATAAGATTTCGCGAGATAGTAGAATACAGAAAAATTTTAATCGAAAAAATATTATTTACGAAATATCACAATGTAGTTCTTTTCTATTTTTACAATGTTATAGTTTTTCTTTGATGTAATAAAAGTTGTATAAGAATTTTCTAATTTTCTAATCTTTCCTTTTCACAAGATAATTTTGGATATATATATAAATTTATAAAAAAAAAGTTATACAATATAAAAAAATAAAACTTGAGAAACTTATTATCTAATTTGATAAGCCAAGTTCTCCAAAACTATGTTTGCATTAGCTATAAGGATCTTATTATGCATGCAAGTTATTTTGATATAAACGAGACTTCATCGTATAATAAATTTTTATCGCGAAATGCTTCTTCGGTATCTGTTGACACATTACACGGCGCTATCGAGAAAAGACCCTGTAATCTTTGCAAAATAATTCTTCATCTAGTACGTCAAGTCACGGCGACGCACCGAACAAAAGAGCTAATATAAACGGGACTGAGCAAGCAACAAGCCCGATACCTTCAATATGCACGCTGTGGCTTGTTTGCATTTGTTTATTCGCGATACGGGCTGCGGAACACGTTGCCGTTGTCGTGTCGTTTCCCCGATCCGTGCGCATGTTCATCCGAAAAGGAAAACAAAGTATCGTCGTCCTAATATTCGAAATCTCTATCTCGCGATTCGCTTAATGTCGCTATTTTATACTTTAAAAAAATTCATCGTTAACTACTTTTACAAATTAACCATTTATCTTTTGTTGCAGTGTTCACGCGTCTAAATTAAGCTTCTGCTCTTAATTAATATTAATGTTAACTATTAGTCTGCGATATATTTTATTTATTTGATTTATGTCATATGTTACCGAAGAGGATCACGTAAGATGATTGAAACGTTTCACTTGTTTTCAATTATTTTTTATACATTACTAGAAACGACAAAACGCGCGCCGTTTATGGTTGAGCATTGTATATTTTTAAGAATTTATATACATGCAAAGAAGTAATTGTAGGCGCAACGTCAATTTAAAATAAAAAGTAATTTGTCACTCACTGAGACGATTCGCAACAGCAGAGTTGTACATCCTTGACTATATATGTTAAACTGTAACAATACAAATATGCATATGATTATTACAGAGTAATTATGTAAAATCGAAATTATTGCATTAAATATCATTTATATTTTATATCTTTAAAAATAAATATTTATTAAAATAATTAGATAGAATACTGAACAAATCTTCCTTTTAAATATAAACTCAGAAAATTTTATACGCATGGTTTTGTCTTTAACACTTATTCGAATCCTCGTTCGAATCATTTGAATAAATAAAATAAAAACACAAAACAGATGCTTTATTTTGCACAAGTAGCAAATAACATCAAAATGAAAGACACTTACCTTACGATTTCTCTGCCGTTGCCCGATGCCTCCTTGGCCTCCTCCTCCTCTCAGATTTCATTGTTGCACTTACACAACACTCGCAAAAATCATCGATCGCGCGAAATTTCGAGCACTCCCGTACGCGATGTGAAATACCGCGAAATGCGCGAAATATTATTAACGTGTGTCGCGTGACTTTCCGTCATACAAATCATTCAAACTAACTTGCAATTTTGATTCGGAAGAAGTAATGGATTAATCACTTTTAAATTAGCAATACGAAACGTAACGCGTGCATCGGAATCCAAGCATCTGCGGTGAAGAAATATGTAGTTATTAGCCCGTGGCGAAACGATATTTTACAGTCTTTAATGTCATTCAATCTAAACCGCGAAATGAATTCTGTGAGCGAAACCTCCAGCGATAAATAATTGCTAATTGTAACAATTAATTCAGATAATTTTCGATTACATTTACATAATGTAACGACACGTAAGAAGCGACTTTCTCCACTCCCTGCCCGTTCGAATCGCACAAATTTTTCTCTTTTTCCGAAAATGGAACAGATTACACGAAATCGATAGATAATTACAAGCGCGGTGCGTAAACGAGATAGTAGTACTACGGTTTACATTAATATTTTAGATGAGTTAGTCTCGTGAAATATCTAGGTATACGTTGATAAAGAACCGTCGCCTCAACATACAATTCGTTTCTCTTTGCAAGTTGTAGAAACTTAATAGTTAATCTAGGAACGTTACTTGTTACTGATAAAGGTGTACAAATCAATAGCGTTTTATCCCTACGTTTATCGCGATCGAGTCTTCGAAACCGATAACGCAAAATTAATAACACGCACGGAGCGACTCTCGCTACTGCCTGCCGGCTCGACGTTCGGCGAGCGAATGATAGCGCGACCTTCAGTGTACATACACGATGGCACGCAAACATCGTACGTCACCGCGCCGAGAGAAAAACAACGAACGTTGAGAATTCGTTGTCTTTTTTTGTTCCGTGACTGTTACTACGTTTTGTGTATCATTCTGCGTACTTACTGGTATCGATTAAATAAAATTCTGTTCAATCGAGAAAATGTATCGGAACAAAAATCGTTGTTACTTAAATTCTAATTACTAAGATTAGAGATTTTACCTCAATAATTGGTGTATATACGAATGTATATTTCTAAATTGCAATTTCATTTAGTATGAATCTAAAAGAGAAGTGAAGCACATCGCGCTTCGAGAAAACCAATCGGCATCACGGAAAAGAGGCCTCAAGTATTCGTTATTAACGACATTCGTGCTGTTAACATCTCTTTTTTAGAAAGGGGAACTGTTTGTTATATTTTCGCTACTGACATCCTGCGTCGGCTCTTATTGTCTTTCTGTTCTATCAATTTTACTGTTTATTATCGGAGCCCCTAGATTAGATTTATCCGGTATTTACTTTTAAAAAATCCACGAAAAATATGAGCACTTAAACATCTAAACGAATAATTATAAAATATTATTTTGTAATTACATACAGAATGCCGACGGATGTGACCGGGGACCCAGAATTCGCAGTAGTGGCAGGGGATGTCCTTACCCTGCGAGGCACAGGACTCGCTGCTGCAGAAACGTGGGCTCTCCTCTGCCAGGCAGCCCAGGCCCTCCAAGATCTTTTCCTATCAAGTAAGTTAAAAAATAGATGTTAATATAATATAAATTTATAATAGAAAATTACATATTCTATTATACATAATTCGTCCCAATTTCTCCTTAATAAAATATTTCTACATAATTTTGATACACAATTTTTTGAAGAAAAGAGAAAAATATAATAAAGGTAAATATCATTGTCCCTACATTGCCCCTACATTGTCATCATATAATTAATATTTAATATAAAAACATCGCATTTATATACATACATTTATTTTATCAATTTTGGCACTTTAATCAAAAAAAGCTTGTTTTACGTATTATAAATTATTAATAAATAATAATGATATGCGCTGTTTGAGTCATTATCGAATAGGGAGTGATGTATAAATTTAAAAATAAATCGTGAATTAAATTTAAAAAAAAATTCCGGTACCGGGAATCGAACCCGAGCCTCCTGGGTGAAAGCCAGGTATCCTAGCCACTAGACCATACCGGATTACGTGAAACGGTATGCCACAACTCGATACTACAAGCTCGATATTGCACGCGAGAAGAAAACAAGCATATATTGTGTAATAAAAATTAAATGTAAATATTTCTTTCCACAAATTGTATTTTAATGATACAGAGAAAATTAGTTTTTTTAATTGCAAAATCTACGAAAGAAGTGATTTACATGTACGTACTTCTTCCCTTACTTTTTGTATTCTTTTTATAAAGGGAATCTCATAATTTTTATTTACAAAATATTTAATGTTGGAAATACACGTACTATCGTCACCATTACGTTACTACTCTTTCCCTTTTCATATATGCCCTACTCGAGACTTACGCGGTCTTTTCCGCTTTCGGAAGCATAAAGCAGCCGAAGATGATCCCTCCACAAATCCTAGAGGCTTTTCAGAAAATATTGGTCGAGTTTGTCACGAGCTTTCACTACATGTGACACGGCTTAGCATGTTTCAGATATGAAACACTGCGTGAAACCGAAACTTCATCATGATCGATGCCACTTCATAACTCAAAAGAAGCACCAATGAAATTTGTGCAAGGAAAAACATTAAAGACGCTCGAGTAAAATTAATCTCAACGAAGAAAACCGTGGCAGTGCGATCTCCTAATAAAAATTTTTTAATCTTACATTGGATACAATTTTGCAACAAATAAAAGATTTATCAATAACATAAAAATGTATCGTTAATAATAAATATTACTTATTAATGTAAAATTCCACATTACTACACTCTCTTGGAGTCAGGATTTTAATACCAATATTGCTATTATTCCAATTTTTTGAAAAGTACAGAATTCTATTTTGCAGCATTCGTTATCAGCGTAATTGATAAAAGCCAATATCGCTTGTGTAATATTTCGTCACAAATATTGCCATTTGCGTGTTTCATCTTCGCGGCAGCGATAAAATATTCCGCGGAAAGAATATCTCTCGAGAAAACTAACTGTAAAAAGTAAGAAATGTTAGAAACGCGCGCGAAAACATTTCCGCCTCTTCAAACATTTCCGTTAATATCGTCAACAATATTATAGATAATACACGCTCGATTACGTCAACCCTCTCCTGCGTCATTGCTGCTTCGCGTTTAAAACACCTCAAGGGTCGAGGCGAGAGACGGTGTCATAGACTGACGAGGCAGTTCTCCTGCGGTATCTTCTTCCATATCCGATATATTTCACGCATCGACGGCCGTCCGAAAAAAATGCCTTCCGTATGACAGGGTGCGCTATAAAAATCGTATCCATCCCGCCTCATCTACCCTCTGGCGCCAAAAATTTCCGATCGAGTTACGTGATTGATGATGCATCAAGGACTTTAGGACGAGCCTCTCCTTTCAGAGAAAGGAAAACACCAAGAGTTCATTTATTCAATTAAACCGTTGGTTCACTTCCTCTCGTTTCCGTTGTATTGTGTAATTTTCATTACGTAATTGTAGTGACATTGGTCGCGGCATTTGTCGGCTGTCACAATAATAAAAATAAATACAAAATGGGCATATAAACAAAATGAATATATAAAGTTTTCTAATAAAATAGAAAGCAAGTCGACATCACAGCAGCGAATATTAATCACGCGCATCTATTGTATACTTCATTACGCGATAATTATAAATATACCTTATCACGCAATTAATAATACGCCTGCAAATTTATTGAATTATCGCGCGAGCAGTTGGAAAGTGCGCCGCTGCACTTTGTGTATGCTCGTATGTTTGCTTTGCGAATAAATCATGAAACACGTAAATTCCATCCAATTCCATTTCTGCCGCTTTTGTCACGCAGCGACGATTTTTATAAAACTCAAACGAGAAATCCACACGCCGGCAATCACCTATATTATAATAACGATCGGAGAAACTGCCGCAATGCGCTCGTTAACTAAAATTCATTAATATCTCGCGCCGGCTCTTTTTTCCGTATTGCAAAAAACACACAATGCACATGGCGCCGTGTGCGTCGTGCCATATTGCCGCTCTCTGTCGATTCATTTACGTTCCCCGTGGCGATGGGTAAATTTATCATCGCGCGAGATTAACACACTTTCGAGACGTACATCACTGCGAGAATTACATTGCTGCGAGCGAAATGAAGATAGCTCGTCGCAGCGCAACGCGAGACAAACATTTCCCATGATAAGAAATAATATTTACAAGAGCGCGTATATAAGGGGTGGAATTGCACAAGAATTGTACCTGCGATCTGTTCGCCCCGGTGTTTAAATGCGGTACGGCGCTTGGGAAACTGTAAACGGAATCCGAAATTGAATATTACGATGCATTCCAGGGGGATCGATAACATCAAATCTGGATAAAGGACAAAGGCCGGGAGATCGGTGGACTGTTAAACCGCATGTATCGCGACGATTACGACGCTCACTGAGCAAGTCAAACGTCGGACGGGCGTCAATGTTAAATATTCAATAATTACAAACCGTGTCGAGAGACCAGGTATCGTCAAAGAGACACTGTTAATTGAGTAATCAACGACGCTGTCGCCGTATTAATCGCATCATCAAGCAAAGCCACTGTTACGGCAATTGGCTTATCCGCAAGATTACCCTTACAGCTTAAACAACTTTTCTATATAGACGTTGATCTTTACGGTATTGTTTTTTAATTAGATATACCTGCACGGAGAGAATTTTCTTTTAAAATTTGTCCTGAAAACCACGAAATCGTGGGACGATTTGGCATTTTAGACAATTATGAATTTTTTGAAATTTTACCATACATATTTCACTAGTAAAATGTGTACTAAGTATAATTACTAATAAAATGTATGGTAAAATTTCAAAAACTCTTGCAAAGTTCTTCAAAATGCCATGTTGTCCCACGATGATTTTCAGGGTAAATTTTAAGAGAAAATTCTCTCCGCGTATGTAACAGAATCTTTACTCCCTCTTATCGACGATTGTTCCTACAGGAAATTTGTGAACATACTCGACCTCGAATCTGCTTTTAAGTATCGTAATCCGATGAAATACCACGAAGAAGCAAAATCTCAAGAAGCAGCTCTCTTTCGGCTAGCTCTTAAAAATTCGCAGGATCTCAAGAAGTATTTCCTTTGGGAGCTTTCGAAAGTCTCGAGGAGAACGTGTGTCAAAGCCTTCGCCATCTAATGTCAAACCATGAAAGATGTTTGAAAAATCCCGAAAATATTGTCGCGGCCCAGCGTATAATCTTTTCTCGATAACAATCGCTCCAAGTTAACCAGCGATTGATACTTTCGCTCGATCGCAAAAATATCGAGAAACGTCGTGGCATTACACATTAATATCTGTGATAATCGGAGGGATAAAGATTAGTTAAGTAAATTATTACGGAGATCGGTACAAGTTTGCACTTTTTGCTCGACAGTGCCGGACATCGGACCTAACTAATGGAGGCAGTGAAGTATGGATAGTAAAGCGAAGTAACGATACATCTTCGGTATCGAAGTATCCATCAGAGCGTCCCCTTCCTCTCGACGTCGCGCGAGATTAAACGCGTCAAGCCGCGCTCAACGTTGCGCCAGGCTCTCATTCTTGACTCACATACGCGCGGCTTAACAGGCGTGTTTACAATGTCGGCAATTCGGACCCTCCAGTTCTCCCCCTGAGACTGCCGTGAGGTATCCTGCACGCGATTGCGATGCCGCATAGCATGACTCACGAGCGCCGTATAATAAGCGGTGCATCGCCGGCACCGCAGGACCCTCGCATCCCGAATGCCGGGAGCTCGTCCTTGCGTTCGCCCTGAAAACAGAAACTTCGTCCTGTTCGTTGATTTTGAACATGCCACGAGCGCAGTCTCACCGAAATCTCGCAGGCACCGAGTTTAATAGACATAGTGATGGAATATCTAGAGCATCGTGAAAGAGACAGAAAGAGAAGAAAGCACGATGGTGTGCGAGGGAGAGAGAAAGAGAGGAATATTTTCATAAATCGTAATTATTAATATTGTAGCAGTATTATTACTATCAATCTCATGGCATTATCAATATTATATTACAAATTTTATTAATCTTGCTGAAGCGTTTTAAAGTGAGAGTCTACGATAACAATATTATTGCATTTACCAGTTCTGTGTAGAAATATATAATTTTCCGCGTGCACCTCAGAATTATCCGCGCGAGATAATTCAACCGCACATCCTCGAAATAAGCTCGCGTCGGAGCTGCCGGAAGCTCGGAATTATCGCGTAAATTCGCGCAGCTGTGAAAGTTTTAAATGCAAGATGTGGTTCCACCACCGTCGAGAATCGTTCTCGTCGTGTAATCGCCTTCGCAGCATCTGCCTTCAACTGGCCGACAACAAGAGCCATTCTTAATGTCGCAACCCTTTAAAGTAGCGCTCCGTCCACTCGCGATATACCCCGTAGAAGAAAGGCTCGAAATACTGGCGGTGGCTCCTTTGGCTACACGTCGCGGAAAGTGTACAAGAGCTTTAATAATGTCGTACAACATACAATGCCTTCGGCGAGAAGTCATCATCAGTCGACGCACAAACAGGGTCAGCGGTGAATTCGTGCGTTCGC